GACTGAAGGCGGGTCACTGATGTGAGGCCTTTAAGGTCTGACAAGATTCACGCCTCTCAGAATGGGCTTGTCCAATGAGAAAAGCTGAAATTCCAAGCGGGAGGTTGGAAATAATGGGATGAATAATTGATTTGTTAAATCTAATGAAAAACGGTGTGTCTGATTGGTCCATACGCTACATCTGGTTTATCTGGTTTCCAAGGTAACTCAACCTGATAAGTCCATCCTTAAAGGTTACTGTCTGGTTAAAATGTTGTACAGCTTCCATTTCTTCTGGACTTTCAGCTGTCTTGTTCAGTATGCCCGAAGACTGTACTTCCCAAAAGACACGCTGTTTTGAAATCTGTACATCTTCTTCTAAACAAATTTGCATGCATGTTGTGTTTGTTACACTAGACATGGGAATTGGTCCTTGTACAGCCCATCCAAAAATACTTTCCAGGGCTACAAGAGATTTGGTTAATCTCTCGACTTTTCCTGACACCATTTGCCAGTAATAGTCTGCTCCTATTAACACTGAAAGCTCATAATCATTAGTGTCCTCCGAGAAAATAATCTGCAAAGACCTGCAAAGTCATGGTTAACATCAGACTGCTTGTCATTTTGCTCACAGATGGACAAATTATGCTTATGTCTACACTTAGCGCAGGAAATTCTCTTTACCCTACAGAATTTTGCTATGTGTTTGGGTCCTAAACAAGCAAACCATTTTCCCAATTTTTTAGCTTGTCTCTTCGAGCTGACACTGAGTATTCAGAGCAATTTTTAGGCTTATGATTCAGATTCTCACAATATACACAACCTTTGGGAACATGACTAGCTGTGTGCAGGGCAGCTGCAGAAGACATTGTCCATTTTTTGAGCCTTGGTTCATGAGTCATTTCAGAATTGGTGAAAGATTTATTGGTTAATGGTCTGTCCTTTTTTGAGCTTTCTGATTTAGTAAGTTGCAGGCTTATCGGGAGCAGGCTTATTTCATGTAAACAGGATTAGATTGCATCTTTTTAAGCAGAAGTGATACTTAAAATCTGTCCCAGCCACTGCTACCTTATTAGAAGAGTACCTTACTGACCTTACTGACTAATTTAAAATAATACAAATTGAAAAATTAATTGAAAAATAATATAATAATGTTTTACTCATTGATATATTTATTCATGATAAAGTAATTACTTTATAACTGTATTGGAGTCTTACACACATGCTATACAGTTAATCTGAGCCGTGCATTAATTTGAGTGGTGACAGCTATTGTGGGAGTGGCTTGATGGAGCGCAGGAGATGCAGAAATATGCTTTGCACTTCCTTTTGTAGAAACTGAATAAGCTCAGGCACTTTCCATTCACCATCAGAGTCCAACTGACGAGTATAGGCTACAGCAATGTCCTCTGGCATCAATTGGAATAACACTGGACACAATAGACTGCCATAAGTATCACATGGAACACCCAGAGATTCCAAACTATGAATTTGAATTTCACATTTATCATATAAACTTCCCAGGGCCTTTATGTCTGACAATGTCTTTACAGGAGTCAAATTAAGCAATTTTGACATGTGAGCACTGATGGCGATATCCTTCCTTCCAAATCTATTCTGTAACAACTCAGTGGCTGTGTTGTAATTAGTGTCAGTTAGAGTGAGCCCTGAGACCGCATTTGCCTCTACATCAGCTAGGTATGTTTTCAAATAAGCAAATTTCTCCTTCTTACACAGCGCTGCATTAGAATGAATGGTGACTTCATACTGACTCCAAAACTCCTGCCATTTGCTTATTTTTCCGGCAAACTTCTCAGTAACTAATCCAGGTAATTTGACAGACTGGGTTTCTGACAATCTTTTGTGGTTTGCATTGACATTTCTTACCCGTTCACTCTCTTGATCGCGCTGTCTCTCTATCAGTCTCATTGCACAGAATTTCCACATAGTAATGCGGTCCTGGTAATCCAGCGTGCTAGCTATCTCCCTCTCCAAATCATCTGTGGGAGTTTCAGTTTCGATGCCTCAATCAAGATCCACTAAACTGTCCTCCTTCGTCGATAATATTGAAAGCAACTCACGCAATATATCACAGTTTGGTGATTCTTTACCAGTCTCCTCTTCTAACTGGGTCAGCAGCTTCGTTGCCGAGCTGCGGCTCATTCTCCTCTTCATTTCCATCCGCTCTAACTGTTCCGCCATCTTCATTCAATTCACTTTCACTTCTAAATTCCATCTAACTCCGCGATTCTCATTTCGCGACTATTCCTTGACGCTATCCCGGGTTTCGGCAGCAAAAAATGTTAGTGAAATTTAAGGAATTGAGACGCTTACATGGAGGTCATGTAGAAAACTTGTTTACTTCAGAATAAAAGAAAGAAAAGCAGCGACAGGAGGACGTGACAAGGCTTAAAATTTAAAACAATGTTCTCAGCACACTTAGTATGTACTTCTATTCAGAAAACAAAATAATTATTCTGTAACAAAGGTTACAACAGAGCGGAAAGACACCATAACATTCAACAACTGACCAAGCACAAGTGGAACACAATGGCTATTTATACACAGGAGAACACAAGGAACCAATGAGTTACTATGGAAACTAACAAGGAGTGGGTGTGGTCCAATGAGTGTCTATGGCAACTAATGAGGGTAGCTATGGAAACAAACAGCACACAGCAGACAGGGGCAAAACACACACAAGGAACATGTGACACTGATGAATATACTAGTGTTCTAATAATTTTGGTCAGTGTCCGATATATATATACACAGGGTGCAATTTGCTGGGGGGGATTTCCCCTCCTCTGGTTTATGCATCCCTGCCTCTGCTGAATTATTTTCATCCCCGGCGGGGATAACAACATCTTGTGATCTTGCTCTGAGGTCCCGATCTAAATCAAATGATTCGTGATACGCGCTTTGAAATCCCATTCTAAATCAAATGATTCACGATCCGATTGGAGCGTTTCGAAACAGTGAATCATTTTGCGACTCAATGGTTTAACTGATTTGGAGTTTCAAAAAGCTCTGTTGATGTTCTTTTATGTTCTTTGCTCGCTTTCTCTATATGATTTATTTGTTGCTTGAATAACCATGGAAATGAAATCATTACAATTAATAGGCCTAATTTACAATGTTTTTTGAAAGACTGTGTTTCCGTCATATTAAAAACATTTCATGACATGACACCCATCATATATACTTGCCTAAAAAGACTGGTTTAAGATGTGCGTTATTAACAGATTACACTAACTTTAGGTTACTTAGGCGGTAACACTTTATAATAACGTTCAGAAATAAATCATTAACAAACATTATATAATGTTTAACTAATCATTACTTAATATATATTCACATATCTAGAAATATGAGATAATGTTCTTGTTAATGTTAACTAATGAACATTACCAAATGATTAACAGATCAGTATTTAATGTAAATTGAAATGCTTGCAAATGTCATTAAATTTTCAATTCATATGATCATGGATTTTTTATTTTTTTTTTAATCTTCAAATGATTTTGACAGATGGTTTACAATGATTAAAGCTTCATTAATAAATCGTTAACAAACATTATATAATGCTTAACGGATCATTAGTTAATGTTTACAAATTTCATTAAACTTTCAATGCGTTTTAAAAATCTACAAATTATTTTTACAGAAATTATAAAATATTTACAAGCTTATTTGTTAATGTACTTTTTAATGCTTACAAATTTCATTAAACTTCAGTTCACATATTTGCTAATGCTCATTTTTACATTTACAAATGTTGTGAAAATATAGCTTATAAGCACTTCACAAACTATTCATGTTAATATATTCATTAGCTTACAAAGGCCTCCTGTAGCGAATCGATGCATTTTTGTATGAAAAATATCCATATTCAAATCGTAATAATCACTTTAATCTAGCTTGCGCCAACAGTTGTACACGGAAGCAGCTCCGGGAGGATGACGTAAGATGTCAGCATTGCACATGCGCCGGTAAGTCTCGTGAAAACCAAAGTTTGTTTACAGGAGCAAAGGAAGCAAAAGTTTCCTTACTTTAGCAAAGGAAAACTAGTCTCCTCTTGGCTTATATCGAAATCATCTGACATTCTTCTTTACAAATCCTTGTTTTTTACTTCTAATTCGTGACCGTTGTTTTGTTGTGATCTCTCCCCTGCGCTTCCGCATTTGTCACTTCTGAGCGGCGCATGCGCAACGCCGACGTCCTACGTCATCTGCCCAGAGCTGCTTCCATGTACAACAATGAGCGCAAGCTAGATTAAATTGATTATTACATTTTAAATATAGTTATTTTTCTTACAGAAACGCATTGATTCGCTACAGGAGGCCTTTGTTCACCACCCGGAGCCGTGTGAGGCACTTTTTATTATGGATGGATGCTCTTTATTTCACTTATTTTGGACTGATGAACTGCAACACCCGCTGACTGCCATTAAACAGCTTGGAAGATCAAAGACAATATTTAATATAACTCTGACTGGATTCGTCTGAAAGAAGAAAGTCATATACACCTAGGATGCCTTAAGGGTAAGTAATTCATGGGCTAATTTTCAATTTTTGGGTGAACTAACCCTTTAAGTTTAGCTAAATGCTTGATAAAGACATATCACACATTGTAATTTGGGTGCAAAACATGTTTTTATCACCTCAACACATATTAGTATACTATTGTGTATCAGTAAACAGAATATTCCTTGAGTCATACATCAAGAGGAAGGGGAAAAACAAATTTTCAAGAAAATACTTCAATTATCAAAACGATGCAATATAAACAGATTGAATTATGTTCCCTTATAGTAATCAAATTGACCCCTGTGCACTTGTTGACCCCTTACCCAACCTTAAACCTACCCATACCAACAAACCTGTCCCTAACCTTACCATTAAAAACCATTAAGAAAAGCATTAAAAACTGCTAGATCTGATTACGTTTCTTCTCTTTTAGAAGAAAACAAACATAACCCCAAGTGTTTATTCAATACAGTGGCTAAACTAACAAAAAATAAATCATCAACAGGTGTTGACATTTCCCAACAGCACAGCAGTAATGACTTTATGAACTACTTTACTTCTAAAATCGATACTATTAGAGATAAAATTGCAACCATGCAGACGTCAGCTATAGTATCACATCAGATAGCTTGCTATAGATCGCCTGAGGAACAATTCCACTCATTCTCTACTATAGGAGAGGAAGAATTGTATAAACTTGTTAAATCATCTAAACCAACAACATGTATGTTAGACCCTATTCCATCTAAGCTCCTAAAAGAGGTGCTTCCAGAAGTCATAGATCCTCTTCTGACTATTATTAATTCATCATTGCCAT